TATTATTATAATGGATTAGAATATTCATGCTACACTCACTAGAATAAAAAACAAATGAATCCAGATCAATTTGAATCATTCGTTATGCCATTTACGTTATTTTGGATGCTTCAAACATTAACAAAAGCCCAAACTATCACATCATATCATCCCAGTAAAACAAATGAATACGAATTAATTTGTTGTTTTCATTTTAATTTATTTTGGATTCACTGAAATTCATTACTATTGTGATTCAGAGATTCAGACACATTGAATCTCTGAATCATGGAAATTTGATCCAAATATCAATTCGTAACAAAATGAATCAAACTTGACTAGCCATAACCACCAGTTTTTTTTAAAGTTTGGCTTGTTCCCACGCCTCAGACTTCAGATATGTACTAGGGGGGATTTGGGCTTGGAGGGATTTGTACTGGGAGGAAGCAGTTATACTCCTGGCCCCCAGGATATGTGCTCTATGCACTCCTGAACCTGGCACTCTGTCCATTATGCAGTCCGGACCTCTGCATTCTGTCCATTATGCACTCCTGAGCCCTGACTTCCCTGCGTTACCTGCTCCTGAGCCCTGCACTCGTTATGTTTCACACCACTGACCCCTGCACTCTCTATGTTACATACTCTTGACCCCTGTGATTTGTGCTTTATGCACTTTTGACCCTTGTACTCTGTACATTACCCATTACTGACCCCTGCACTGTGTACATTATGCAGTCCTGATAGCTGAAGTCTGTGCATTATACACTCCTGAGCCCTGACCTTTCTGGATTACATATTCCTGAGTCCTGTACTTTGTTACATACTCCTGGCCCCTGCCATCTGTATGTTACATATTTCTGACCCCTGCACTCTGTGCATTACATACTTATTATTCCTGACCCTTCTGCCCTGGGGGTACAAGGACTGTGGTGCACAACATGTATGCCATGTATACAGTGAGTAGGCGCAGGTCTTTTTTAACTATGGTCATTGTTAGCACAATTTGGCCACTCCCACACTTGGGACATCTCATTCCTCTCCATGCCCAAGAGTGCCCCCAATCTTTAACACTTCTAACAACACCCCTTCAATGAAGCATGATGCTAAATTTGCTAAAAATAGATTTTGGGTTTACCTACACTTTAATATACAACCTACCCATTAATGCTACCCCTTAACAGTACAATAAAAGTATTCCAAATGTCTGTACTTCTTACATTCCGGGAAATTTGTGTTAAAAACATCTTATACCATAATGTATTGATTAAAAAAATGTTCTTCCTGACACAGGAAAAACAATACAGACCTAAACTAATATCAGCAAATACAACTAATCTGAATATGCCTGCTTACACTTTGTAGAATAAAGATGACATAATCTTCACTTTTTGAATTCCACTGAATGTCACAGAGATTAAATCTGATCTCCAGACAGACATGTTGTATAAAACATCAATTAAGGCAGTTATGTGTTTATTCAGAAATGCTTTGATGTCAGCCCCCTGTACAGTGTCACAGTAAAAGGGAAGGCCAGAAATGGTTGTCACATCAGGTGCTGCCAGCTGACAAGAGAACAAAGCAGACTAAGCAAAGGGACAATCAATGTGCTGATGCACATTCCATGTCCGATTGGCAAGCTGGGGTGTGTCTGGGACTAACCATAACTAGTTTTGATGGTTTAATTGAGGTAGACTATCATGACTAAATACATGAATGCATCTATGTACTGTACATTCATTTTTATATTTTTTGCTATTTCTGCCTTCATTTCTTACTATGATTTTTCAGCATTGCAAACATTTACCCCCTGGACAACAATGTATATAGTTTCCATGTGACAATATAGTAATAAAGCCAAAAAATTTGTCATAAAGATCCTGAATTACATTTCATATGTAACAAATAACTACACAGCAAGAACACCAATGGTGATATTAAGAGCCAAGAATTCTGGGGAAAGAGCAGCTGCAAATCGCAGCATCATCAGATCCAAAACTTAACGTGACTGTATAAGTACATTTCAATCCCTGGCTTAGAAATAAATGATTTGCTAGAATTGTTGATGTGTAAATATTTGGAGTTGACTAGTGAAAGTGAGTAAGTGAACTTTCAAGAATTTAACAGTTGTCAGAAGTAAATAGGTATTTTGGCTACTAAGTCAGAAAATGTTTTTACCCCAGTGGAAAAACTGGACCTTCCTCAAAAGCAGCATTTAATTTTCCTTTTACCCTCCACTGGATAAAATCTAAATAATACCTTATATAAAATACAGTATATATCCCAGCTGGCCATTCTTTTCATACAATGCATAATCAGTGATGGATTATTTGGATAGTTTTCAAACATGGAATGTATAGTAAACAAAAGTTACGTAAAATTCTATATACAGTTATGAAACACATAGAACATAATCATTTCTGACCTTTAAACTGATATATATTTCTCAGTTAAAAAAAAGCTTTTAAAGCTCTTTTGATCTTTCCAATTTTGTTTCCATCTCAATCCTGCCTAAATTAGATGCCAGAATTGTGTCTTCTTTGTTTTCTTATTTGTATTCACAAAACAGTGATTAGTAAGCTTTGAGTTCACGATGATGAATTGCTACACTTGACACATCTGCACCTGGAACTTTATATTCTTGGATTCTGTTTCTAGGAGTGTGGTGGTCATACATCTGCATTTTGAGCATTGTGAGAAATGCTTTTTGTACACAGTCAGGCAAATAAATATAATGTCATCTTTAAACTATTTTATGCAAGCAAAATTTTAAAGGAGACATTTGTTCAAGACACACAATCCCTGTAAAATGCAAGCTACACAACAATCAAAATTGAAAATAAAGTCCAGCTCAAGCATCCCATCACTTTGGAACCCTGCAAGTGCTCCACCACTAACAATATCATCATCATTTTTTTATAATTCTGCATGTGTACCTTTTTCACCATTTACATGATGAGTTGGGCCCTCTTATGCTTTCCCTGAGTTGGGGGTCTTCTATGCTATGTGAGCATCGTTTTCTGCAGCATCTTCATATGAGCCCAGGCTTGCTTAAAGTGGTTCTAAAGGCAGAAGGTTTTACCTTAATGTATTTTCTGCAGCTCCCCACCACTCCCACCTTATACTTTCCTGAGCCTGATCTCAATTCAGCGATGTGCATGAGAGCAGAGGATCTCTTGGTTCTCTCCTTCCTCATTGGCTCAGACACAGCACAGGGAGCTATGGACTTCTGCTGCTGTCAATCACAGTGAGTCAGGAGGGAGTGGGGAGCAAGGCTGAGTCACACTCTGCGTGTATGGACACACAGAGGTGGCTCGAGAGCGAGCACACACAAGTGATCCCATAGCAAGCAGCGTGTTCTACTGGCACTCTCAAGGAGAGCCAGTGAGGGACCTAGGAAGAGGAGAATCGGGGATGCTCTGGGCAAAACCATTGCACAGAGCAGGTAAGTATGACATGTTCATTATTTAAAAAAAAAATATATATATATATACATACTATATATACAGGGCTTGAAAAAGCCGCTCGCCTGCTCGCCAAATGCGAGGAGAAATTCCTCTGTGGCGAGCAGCGAGCACAGATGAAGCATGGAGCGACTGCACCTGCGCTCCAAGCCTCATTGTGAAGCCGAGTTTCGGTTTACAACTTCCGGTTTCCGGCTTCTGCGGCACCGATGCTGAGGGGACAGGTGCTGGAGAGGTCCGCTCTCCTCTGCTGAGAGGAGACACCCTCTCCACCGCCGTGGGGGACTCGGAGGGACTAGGAGTAAGTACTGTATACATGTCATATCACTATAATGGAGTACAGGGGAGCTGAGATATACATTACTGTATACATGTCATATCACTATAATGGAGTACAGGGGAGCTGGGATATACATGCTATATACATGTCATATCACTATAATGGAGTACAGGGGAGCTGGGATATACATTACTGTATATATGTCATATCACTATAATGGAGTACAGGGGAGCTGGGATATACATACTGTATACATGTCATATCACTATAATGGAGTACAGGGGAGCTGAGATATACATTACTGTATACATGTCATATCACTATAATGGAGTACAGGGGAGCTGAGATATACATTACTGTATACATGTCATATCACTATAATGGAGTACAGGGGAGCTGAGATATACATTACTGTATACATGTCATATCACTATAATGGAGTACAGGGGAGCTGGAATATACATGCTATATACATGTCATATCACTATAATGGAGTACAGGGGAGCTGGGATATACATTACTTAGTAATGGATATCCCAGCTCCCCTGTACTCCATTATAGTGATATGACATGTATACAATAATGATTACTGTATACATGTCATATCACTATAATGGAGTACAGAGGAGCTTGGATATACATTACTGTGTACAGTTTTATGTTTTGGACTCTTTATTCTAAAGAAAAATGTAATTTCATAAGCTTTAAGGGGGAGTGGTTGGGGGCAGGGCTGGGGGGCAGGGTTGGGGGACAGTCCGGGGGTGGGGTTGGAGGCAGATCTGGGCAAGGTTGGGTGGGGCAACTGCTGGAGAGTAAGGTTTGTGCCTGGCTACTGTGTATATACAGTATATATATATATATATATATATATATATGTCACACGTTAGCCTGCAGTTTCTTGTTTGTGTATTCTTACCTCCTTACTGCAGTGATGCCCCTGATTCCTTTCACATGTGTGGTTTGTCTGTACTCACCTATGGGTGTCATCTACTATCCTCTGGGTTTTATTTCCTTCCCTTCCATCACTTCCTGGCCCCCCTCCTAGCTTGCTTGTCTATATAAGACATGCTTAGTCTAGCCCACTTTGCTTGAGCAACTTCTTAGTTCTCAAGAAGTCTGTTTTTGATTGTTTGGTCATACCAGTGGCCTGCTGGAAGTCATTTTGTAGGGCTCTGGCAGTGCTCATTCTGTTCCTCCTTGCAGAAAGGAGCAGATAACGGCCCTGTCCAGCTCTCCTAGAGTAACTGCCTGTCTCCTGCAATCTCCTCCATGCTCTTGAGCTGGGAGACACAGAAAATCTTCTGGCCAGGGGCGGACTGACAACTCATGGGGCCCCCGGGCAATAGGAGATCATGGGGCCCCTGTGTCCTTGCCCAAACTCAAAAAAGCCTATGAAAAAGGTACCAGGGGCATCTCATGGGGCCCCCTACTGACCCCGGGCCCTCGGGCAGTGCCCGAGTTTCCAAATGGTCAGTCCGCCCATGCTTCTGGCAATGGCATGTATTGATGTGCAATCCTGGAGGAGTTGGACTGCCTGTGCAAACTCTGTAGGGTCCAGGTATTGCCTCCTGCTACCAGTAGTGACACCGACCCTAGCCAAATGAAAAACTAGTGAAAAAACAGTCAGAAAAGATGAGTAGGGAAAAAAATTGCAGGGGCTTTAACCTCTAAAAACCGTTTTGGGGGTCATCTCATTGTTGCCCATCTAGTGCACTTGTTGTTAATTTAATTAACACCAAAGCAGCTGAAACTGATTAACAACCCCCTCTGCTACTTAACTGACCAGATCAATATCCCAGGGGTTTATAAGGACAGTCCTCCTGCGCCACCTACCTAACTGCAATGACCCCCAAAAGTGGCAGCAAACACCTAACTATATTCCAAAATAGTGAAAGCAGATTCACTTTTTTGTCCCAGGAGTTTAATTGATTTGATGCTACACTCTTATTAAAAAGTGTTCCTTTAATTATTTGAGCAGTGTACACACATACAGTATCTCACAGAAGTGAGTACACCCCTCAGATTTTTGTACATTTTTATTATATCTTTTCATGTGACAACACTGAAGAAATGACACTTTGCTACAATGTAAAGTAGTGAGTGTACAGCTTGTATAACAGTGTAAATTTGCTGTCCCCTCAAAATAACTCAACACACAGCCATTAATGTCTAAACCATTGGCAACAAAAGTGAGTACACCCCTAAGTGAAAATGTCCAAATTGGGCCCAATTAGCCATGTTCCCTCCCCAGTGAAAAGATATAATAAAATATTTACATACATCTGAGGGGTGTACTCACTTCTGTGAGATACTGTATATATATATATCCTATATATATATATATATTTTAATGATACACATGTCCTTGGTGCTCTTGACTCACAGAAAAGTGGGTTAAATTTTGTTGGATGTGAATCTGGAAGAGCTCCAGTGCTGGACCATGTAGAGGTGGGTCTATAAAGTCAGCACTATAGAGAAGGTGAGCACTGAAGTAAAGCTGCTTCTTTGTTTTAACTTTTTCAGGGCATTGATTTTTTTTTTTCTTAAAATGTGGAATTGTGCTAGTTAACCTTTTTTAAATTGCTAAACGCCTTCTTAAAATGCTAATTGCTTGTCTGTTACGCTAAACTGCTGGCTTCTCTAAGACACCTCCTTTTGACTGAGGCAATGGCCAGTAACAAATATGCCCTTTGGGAAAGTCTAACTAAAGTCAGAACTCATTAGCTATCTTTTAGAAGCACAAATGATGGGAAGCCCCACTTTTGTCGTTCACTGTGTGTGCTGCTAATAATACGAAGTCATGTCAAAGCTTACTAAGCTTCAAAGAGGGCAGATCATTGGTGCTCGTTTAGCTGGTGCCTCTGTGACTGAAATGAATACTTTATTTACAGGTATGTTCGAGGTACAGTATCAAAGGTTATGACAACATATACAGTCTCTGGGAAAACATTGTCTGATAAGAGTAAGCATGGTCAACAAGGTCAACTGACCGAAAGAGACAAAACAACGTTGCTCAGGATTGTGACCTGGAAAACAAAAACAACTGCTGCAAAAGTGACTGCAGAGCTCAATCACAGCCTTCACAGGACTTTACAGCACAGTAAGTACACACTTACAACCAGTAATATGACAACTTCATGCATCCCTGCCCTTTATAGTTACCAACCTGCACTATGCTTAGAGGTGGAGAAATGAATTCCCCCACCCAAATCCTCTTCCACCCCTCCAAATTCCCACTCTAGTACAAATCCCCAAGGGACAAATTCCTCCCCAATAGTTCCCCCCCTCCCAGTACAAATCGCCCTCCCCCAAATTCCCCCTCCCAGCTCAAATCATCTCCTTCTTCTTGTACTTATACCCTTCCTTTCCAAATCCCCCATCCACACCTCTAACACAAGTCCCCCCCCACTTCCCTCTACTAGTAAAAATCCTCTTCATCCTCCAAATTCCCCTCCCAGCATAAATCACCTTTCTCTTCTTGTACAAATACCCTTCTACTCCAAATCCCCTCATCCACCCCTCTATAGCATAACCCCCCTCCCCAATACCCCCCTTTTAGTAAAAACTATCTTCACACCCTAAATCATCACTGTGGCACAAATACTCTCCTCAATCCCTCCTTCTACCACAAATCCTCCCCCTCCCCCCCCCACCTAAATTCCTTTTATGGCACAAATTTTCTCACCTCCGTATTCCCCTTTCAGCACAAATCACCTCCCTCTTCTTGTTTTCAATACCCTTCCTATTCCTCCATCCCCACCTACCCCTGTAGCACAAATCCACCCCCCCCCCCCATGTCCCCTTCTAGTAAAAATGATATTCATCTTCCAAATACCCCCCCCCCCCCCAAAAAATTATATTCCTCTTCTTATACAAATACCCTTCCTCTACATATCTCCTCATCCACCCCTCTAGCACAGACCCCCCCCCCCGATTCCTCCCTTCTAGTAAAAATCACTGCAGCACAAAAATAATCCCCCCACCTAAATTCCTCTTATGGTGTAACTCCCCCCCAGCAGCTAAATCTTCTTCCCCCCAAACCCCTCCTTCTAGCACAACCCCTCTTAAATCCCCCCTCCATGCACAAATGCTCCCCCAAACTCCCATCCGAGTGCACTAAGAAACCAGGAGAGCTACACCACAGCTGGATGGCCCCATGTGCAAGGGGCCTAGGAGTTTACGGTGGAGCAGAACTGCTTACAGCAGGCAGGCCTCATGTCCCTTTACATCAATTGCATTTCACACCCTGTAAGTGTATGGTGTCTTCAGCAATCAAACATTACAGTCATCTGGTGTCCAGGACTGCCAGCAAATGGAAGTGAATAGCAAATGCAGGTCAGAAGAAGACCAACTTAAGGTCAATGAATTGCAAGTATTGCATTTACAAGAGCTCACAAACGGATGCAAAAAAATGTATATTGATTTATAGTTTTAATACAGGGGAAGCCAAGAGCACTGAATAGTGTTGTACACCTGAAATATATAGCTAGCATGCTTTTCTTGGGACAAGTAAGGACCAGTTCAGCTATGTTTTCTGAAGAAAATCCTGAAAAACGTTGGTTTGGCAACAAATGCAATACAGTGCTGAACAGTTTACAATGCCACAACTACCAATCAGTATCCCCCTAGCCCCAGATTATCGGGAGCAGGTTCAGACCAGGCTAAACAGCAGTCACTCACAATCCTCCTTTTGCACCCTCTCTCATGTGCTCTGGGTTTAATGCCCGGGAAGAGCAAGAGGAAGAATGTCCTGCCGATTGGCTTAAAGGGGCTACACTAATGCGTAAAATCACTGTTAATGCAAAAGGAAGCAAGAAAGGAATAATTGATTCTTGATAGTGCTGTCTATAGTACTTTACTGTAACCCACTGACATATGAAATGACATAAATATGACATAAACCTTTTGCACATATATTCACACCAGGCACTAAGTGCATTATTCCCCATATAACATACTTTTTCCATTTTTTAACCTTTATTGAACTGTGACAAAATGACATTCCGGCACATTGCAATATGCTGTAGTGACAAGCAGCGTGGTTTGGTGAATTGAATTTGATAAAAATGCAGAAATCCTGCATTTCTAGGCAACACACAACACCACATGTGTATGGTGTTAACAGGGCCCATGGAAAAAAAAAGGTATTGGAAAAAGGGGTATTGAATTAAAATTCACGGAGGTCTGACCAGTAAAATTTTCCTCCAGCAGAAGTCCGAACCACGTGTTTTTTCTGCCCTATCCTCCTATATCACAATCCCTTATGTCAGGGACCTCAGTCCTCCCCACACATCAGTTTCCCCTTCACAGAAGTGTTCGCAGGCCCCCTGCAAATTACCCCTCCCACTTCACAATAGTGTACTGAACCCACTTCACATCACACACCCTCTTTATTCACAGCAGTCCTCAACCCCCTTCAATTCATCCCCCCCACCCCACAGTACTGTCATATGCTCCTTCACATCACCCCCCCAGCAGAACTATGCCCCTTCACACCACCCCCCACAACACTGCGCCTCTTTACATCTTTCCCCAACAGCACTGCCTCCCTACATCCCCCCCCAACACCCCCCCCTCTCACATCATAAATCCACCCCCCAGCAATGTGCTCTGCCCTCTTCACATCAAACACCCAGCCCACAGCACTGCCCCCTCTTACAACACCCCCCCCCCACAGTAGTACTTTCCCCTTTTCACATTTTACCCCCCACAGCACTGCCCCTCCTTTACATCACCCCCAGCACTGCCCCTTCCCTTTTCATCACCACCCCCACAGCACTGCTTCCTCCCTTTACATCACCTCCAGCAGACCACTGCCCCTCTTCACATTTTACACCCCCTCCCCAAATCAAACACACACAGAGTTGTGTGCTCTGTCCTCTTGAAATCCACCCCCCCTCACACACTCAGAACAGTGCCGCCCTTCACATCATTCCTCCCCACACACACACACACACACACAGCCAGAGTAGTGTCCTCTGCTCCCCTTCAGTCTCCTATCTTAGACAGAGCAGAGAGCGGGAGATCATTTCTAGAACGAGTGTGTGAATCACAGAATAGCATTGAGCGGAATGCAGGAGTGGAAGCTACCGGGTTAACATTTTGTATTAACCAGTAGATGATTGGCCACTAAGACTGTCCTGCATCCAATCATCTGCTGGTTAACTTGAAGAGTTAACCCCAGCAGCTCCCGCTCGCACACTTCATTCAGTGCTGTGCTATGACTCCCACACTCGGTTCAGAAATGTTCAATCTCCCGTTCTCAACTCTGCTGTTATAATAACAGCAGCAGAGTCTAGTGAAAAGAAGCAGCTCTTAAATGGCGTCACCATGGTCCGGATGGAACAGTGGCTCAGTCTGGATCCGGACCATGGTCCACCATTTATTGATGCCTAGTATAAATGATCCCTTATGAACGCTTATCCATTTTTGCACTCTTACCATGTACTTATACTGTACAGAATAATCAGGGTTGGGCTAATATTTCCTTCTCCCCAGGCTAACTGTCAAGTGCCCTGTTGAATGGCTAGCCTT